CTTTTGTATAGAAGGCAAGAGTAAAGCGCAGCACCTCTCTCTCATCCTGCTGTCGCTGAGTTATAAATTCTACATCAGGACTGGACACCAAAGGCTTGTGCTATCTCTACACAATAGAGTCTTCAACATATGTGAAAGACCAAGAAAAGTCAGACTAGACTGACCCCATGAGTGTTAACCCTTGGGCATAGGAGGCATGGAGCCTGTCATCACAGAATTTTGAAGCCTTTTCAGAAAAGTCAGATCAGTTTGAGATAAAAGGAAACTGCTCCCAGCTTCTCCTCCTTCACTCATCGCTGCGTGATTAAACTCCCACTGATACCACAGGGAGTCAGAGTGTTTTTAAAAAAAAAAAAAGAAAATCTTCAAGAAATCTTTCCTTCATTTTAAAATGTCTGTATTTCTGAGGCTAAACTGAGGATATACAAAGGTTTTTTCTTGGCAGGATCTACTTTAGTATGTGGGGAAGAAAGGTGTTTTTGTCAGAATTAACAAGTGAAAATGTCAACAGACTTCTCTCTGCATCTGAAAAAAGAAAAATGTAAAATTTAATTCACATAGCGACACAGGAGAGAGAAATAGAAGCAATATTTTAAAAGCTATGGTAAGTTTTGCTCTTGGTAGTGTTGAATAATTTAGGGTACTCGTTATAAATTAAAATAGTTTACAGCAAGAATAACTGGAGTAGCATTTTACCAGTGGAGACAACTCTGAGTAAAGAAATCAATAATGATTTTAAATATGGTCAAGTGACACTGGTTTCTCATAAACTGGAATGCTTCCAGCTATTAATGCTAATGCAGTGGTTCAGTGTCAGAAAGTTTTGTCCAATAAAAATTTGCCAGTATTTAGACTTAATGGCAGTTACTTTACAATAATATGTGATAAGCATTTCACTACGTACCAAGGTGTTTTCTAAACCAATGTGCCAAATTTAGAATCACCAGTTAACAAAAAAAGCCTGCCTTTGTATTGTGGGAGGACGTACCAAAGACACAGAAAGGACCCAGCCAACCAGCGGACCTGAACGGTGGTGACCACTGCACCACCAAATTCTCAGGACACACACTGGCTTTCATGTTTTGTTTGCTACAGAGAAAACTTTCCGAACACTGTCACCTGGAGATGGAACTTTGAGTCAGATTTTGAACTTGTATAGCTTAAAACACACACACACAGTATATGTATATACACATTACCAGTCAAAAGTTTGGACCTTCTCATTTAAGGTTCTCGTTTTTTCTTTATTTTTGCTACTTTCTAAATTGTAGCTATATACTGAAGTCATCGGATAACATAAAGCAAAATCTATGGAATTATGTAGCAAAGAAAAGATTTGATGAATAACTCTAAATATGTCTTGCATTTTAGATTCCTCGAAGTAGCCACCCTTTTCTTTGTGCAATTTTTTGCTTTCTAAATAGGTTTGGGACCATCAGGTGTGTTGTGCAGAAGTCAGGTTGATACAGAGCTGGCAGCCCTATTTGACAACTGTTAGAATACATATTATGGCAAAAACCAATCAGCTAAGTAAAGAGAAACGACTTTAAGCACTGAAGGTCAAGGAAATCTCACATTAACGGCACCTCGGATCAGAGCCCAAATAGATGCCACACAGAGTTCCAGTTCAGACACATCTCTACATCTACTGTTCAGAGGAGACTGCGTGCATGGTCCCCACCGTGCATGGAGGAGGTGATCAACAAGTGCTCAACATCTGTGGGAACTCCAAGACTGTTGGAAAACCATTTCAGGTGACTACCTCATGAAGCTCATCAAGAGAATACCAATAGTGTGCAACAAAGGAAATCTCAAAGGGTGGCTATTTTGAAGAATCTAAAATACTAAACATGTTTTGATTTATTTTCACATTTTGTTTACTACAGGTTTATCCAACTCTAACAGCTAGCATATTTTCTTTCTTGCTGAAAGAATAACAAAAATCACAGATGACTCGCTTTTACGTCACCTGTTTTCCTGGAGAACGAACACTATTTTAGTTTTTTTTTCCCTAATATGTAGGATGTCAATGTCATGTGAAGGCTGTGTGCAGGCATGAATGGTGGTAAGGAGGACCCAACGTGCAGACTCATGCAGGCGAAATAATGCAGTCAAAAGAGCTTTATAGCTAAAACATAAAATAACTAAACTGAAAATACCAAAAAACTGAACTGGCAGGCAGGAAGACAGAACACAGCCTAGTAGACGGTAGATCGCAACACAGACCAAAGAAAACACGGCTTAAATACACAGAGCCGCAATCAGGGAACGAGAGACAGGAGGGAAACACAGGTGGGGCAAATCAGGGCTAACGAGACAAAGGAAGCAAAACCAGACACATTAACATAAGACATGGACCTTCAAAGTAAAACAGGAAACATAACACAGAGACACAGACTTGACATGGGGATACAGCAGACAGGGAAGACAGCAACTATGGATCACAGACAGAAAACCAGAAGACTAACAAACAAAACCCACACAGAGAACATACAATTAAAATAATCCAATAACCCATAAGACAAAGAAAGCTAGAATATAAAGAAACAAACAAAATCAAAGAACCAAAAACAAAACACTGGGTTGACGACCCAGGCACCTTAACAGGTGACTTACTAAAGCAAAAGCTTGACAATGTTAAAGCACAGCTGTTTAAAGGACACCCATTGTAGAGTTAATGACATCTGGTTCCACTCTGATTTAAACAAAAAAGTAACAGCAGGAGACTTTACATTTGCAGCTGCACAGACACTAAAATATACCATCTACAGTTAAGTAAAATAAAAGTTACTTCAATGCTGTGCAAACTGGAGTAAATGCCAGATAACTTTGTTTTTCAAAAGAATAAATAAATTGCCTCCTCTTTCCACATAGAAAATTAAAGGAGAATAAAAGCCAGCGAGAGACAGAGAAACAGAGCGAGGGGGACTGCAGAGATCAGACGGCCTGAGCAGGTGTTGAACAAAGAGACAGAACACAGACTGGAAAGCCACAAGAGCATGAAAGGTCCCCATGCACATACAACAAGGTAGCGACCCCTGCAGCACTGTGGACAAGCGGGCTGCAAGAGGCTGGAGCAAAAACTAAGTGGGCAGTAAAGTCCATCAAAGCCTATTGCAACTACAACACAGATAAGACACTCAATGCACTCTGATTGTTTTAGCACATTTTTTTTTAATCCACATTTTCTTCTGCAATCCTACTGTGTTTTGAACTTTCACAATTTCTGTTGTAAATTAAATCGAGAGCTAGAAAATTGAACAAAAAGGTATAATAAACAGACTTGGCTCATCTTGCTGACAGTGCTTACTAGGGCTGGGTATCATCACTGATTTCTAGAATCGATTCTATTCCAATTCACAAGGTCCTGAATCCATTCGATCCACGATTCGATTCAATTCGATTTTAATCTGGGAAATTTTGCCTCAGACAGTCAGAAATATTATAATTCAGATCAGTACATTTACATATTTTTGTATCTATAAAAAGGAAGCTGACACTTTCCAGACTTTATCAAAGGTGTGAGCATCACAGCAGATGCTTTTGTGTCAAAGTAGCTGAAGATAAAACACAGAAAAACATGAAGGTGATTTTCCTGGCCTGGGATTTTATAAAAATATTCTCCAATAGATCACAAACGAAAGAAAACCATTAATCAAC